GGAGTTTAGTCATACTGGATTAAGGCCCACCCTCGTTACCTCATGCGTGTGGTGCCTGCCACGTCACGTCAGTCGTGTCTGACTCTTTGCAACGCTATGGACTGTAGCCCGCCAGGTTCCTCTCTTCATGGGACCCTCCAGGCAAGAATACTGGAGTGGGCTGATGTGCTTTTCCTCCAGAGGATCGTCCCAATCCAGGGATCAATTCAGCGGCTCCTGCATTGCAAGCTGATTCTTTACTACTGAGCCATAGAGGAAGCCCCTAATAACCTCCATTTAACTAATTATACCTGCAATGACCCTGTTTCCAAATGAGGTCACATTCTGAGGTAATGGGGGTTAGGACCTCAATGTTTGATTTGGGGATGCAGGGGATGCAATTCAACCCATAACCCAAGCCCCGTTTAGGGAAAATTAGTCGGTGATGGTACTTGGGGTCACTGGAATGTTGAAACTAGGCAGGAGATAAGCTTAAGACCTCAAAATAGAAACCAAAAGAAGGTCCGTGCTTACAGAAGATGAGCATGCCTTCTTATCTCCCTGGCTTCTCACAGGAAAAACACTCCTGCTTTCTCCTTCATCTGAGTTCTTTCTTAAGGCTGAGAACAATTTCCAACTTCTTCATGAAGTCTTGTTAGAGCACATAAACCCTTTGTTTCTTTCTACCACCTTTGAATACCTACCGCTCTATTGTTAGGAGGACTTACTTGTTATGCATGCGGACCTGGTTGAACCATATGAAACTGATGGTATTAAGCCATTTTTGATGAACAAAAACTGCACTTTAATGTTTCATTCCCAATACTTGCATTATAATAGTGAAGATCCTGAGACTGAAATTACGAGTCTCTGCCAAACAGTAGATCTAGGACCCAGATCCTAAGCAAGACAACTATGCCTCAGTTTTTTTAGTCTGTAAAATGGAAAGGCTAATATTACAAATCTCATAGGGTTGCTGGAAGATTGATATGCTAATATATACACATATACATCTACAGGGTGGCAAAGAGTTGGACATGACTTAGTGACTAAACAATAACTATGACAGTGCTGTAATAGTGCTGTGACAGTTCATATGGAGAGCTATTGTTGCTGTTATTTAAGATTCGTGTTTCGCTCAGCATAGGGTTTCAGTGTTATGCACATTTAATAAATCTTTGTAGAAAGAATGACTGAGTGAATGTATGGCTTCTCAACTGTGTATGCTCTAACACAAACAAATATGCAATGGAGATAATCATGCTTGCTGAAAATTATTAATCATTAGTACTGATTATATTACTAATAAGAAAAATAAATCCCCAATGAGGCTCTGCATAAATTATGACTCTCATATTTTAATTCTGACTTGTGTTTCTTCATTTTTCAAATTTTTTCAAAGTTAACTCACTATAAGTAAAATGTATGCTCTGGATTGCAATCTAAATTAACCAGTCCATTAAGTACAGGCTCTTGGCTCTTCTTCCTTCTGAGATTTCTCATGATCAGTTTTCAATCATCAACAAATAAAAGAACAAAAAAGTCTATAGCCAGTCACGGAGGCAGTTTGTAATGGAAGTGCCCCATGAGTTTACTGCCTGCAATGTTTACAACATTCTCAGAAGGTTAACTGGAGTCTTGTCAAATGACTGTCCATGAGCCCAAAACCAACTTAAGATTGGTCCCTTTACTCTTGGCTGCTGCTGCTGCTGCTGAGTCACGTCAGTCGTGTCCGACTCTGTGCAACCCCATAGACGGCAGCCCACCAGGCGCCCGTCCCTGGGATTCTCCAGGCAAGAACCCTGGAGTGGGTTGCCATTTCCTTCTCCAGTGCTTGGAAGTGAAAAGTGAAAGTGAAGTTGCTCAGTCATGTCTGACTCTTCACGACCCCATGGACTGCAGCCTATCAGGCTCCTCCATCCATGGGATTTTCCAGGCAAGAGTACTGGAGTGGGTACCATTGCCCTCTCTGGCCTTACTGTTTATACTAGTGCAAATCTATCCAAGAAACTATGTACCTGATTGGAGGAAATTTGAACTCAAATTATCATATTTGAAGTGCACATTTCTCTGCATTTTCATTTTGATAAGAATTAGGAGTTGATGTCTGAAGTCCAGGTGTCACTTATTTGATCTCACTTCCTTAAAAATGTGTATCCAAGATCCATGCTGCTAGGAAAGAGCTTGCAACAGTGGGAATAGCCCAGTTTCTTATACCTATGCAGAGGTAACTCTCTTAAGTTCAGAAAACAAGATGGACTCCATCAGATGACTTTTAGAAATTATCTGGTTCAGTGATGTCAATTCACACATGAGAACACGGAGGTTCCTGATTTGCCAAGTCAGTGCAGTGAATGCCAGAATCTGGGACTCCAGTGGCTGCAGTTACTCTGTGACACTTTTAGGGCACATCTGTTTCTCAAATGGTTGAAATAAGAGATTCAGACATGTGGTGCTGAAAACTCCAAAACAAAGCATATCTCTGAACTGTAATTACTGGAAGATCTTTAGATTATTAAGATGAATGAGGCAATGTGAAGGACACCACCATGGTGATCTGTGATCCAGGGAAGATGTTTAAAAGAATACCAGGGAATGCTGTAAAATCAAGCACCATAAAAATACTTGTTCATATTTTAATTAGATTTATATAAATATTTTGATAGGCAGAATATAATTAAATTAAAAAGATAAAGATAGCTTCATTTTGTGGTCCTTTTAAAAATAAAACTTGAATCCAAGAAAAGTAAAACACAAATATCTTTTGTTACTAAGGTCCTTCATTAGACTAGTTCAAACTGCCAGAGAAAACCTTAATTACAGAAAAAGAAACTGATAACAAAGTACCATGACCCTTAAAACAGTATTCCTAAGACACAAACGTTGAAAGTATTCATTTAGAAATTTTTACTGGCAGCCAGGAGCTATAGGGCGATATCTCAATGTTTCTGGAAGATTTTTAATTAGACATAAACAGGAATTGCTGCTCTCTTTGTTTTAAATAAGCTCTAATAATTTCACATCTGAGAGGCTGGAGGGAGACAACACTGGTGATATCAGATGGCAGAATGGTAGGGGCGTCTGCTGAAGGTTGGGCGAGGTCAGGGATGGGAGTCAGAAGGAAGGGCCATCCATCATCATATGTTAGGAAAATGGTTTGGCTTTATGTCAGCTGGAGGTTTACAAGAGAGCATGAAATAATATTTGGACAGAAGTAGACTGTTTCTATACATGTTTAGGGGCAATGTTTTCTTTTTAAACGTTCTTAAAGTTTAAGCAATATCTGCCTTGGAAAGCATTATTTTAATTATAAAAGTCCATGCTCATCATATGAAATTAGAGCATTCAGAAAAACTTAAATTCAAAATCACTTTTAATCCAATCACTCACAATTATCTCCATTTACATTTTAGCATGTTTTCTTTGTAAATTCAAATTAATATAACTGAAGATAAAACACACATATAATTTTTGAGATCATTTTTTATAAGATTTAACAAGTATTTACCAGTAACTTTATTTAACTCATTTTAGCGTATAGCTGTATCCACATTTATGGAACTACTTAGGGCATTCAGTGCTTTGCTATTGTGATTTGAACTGCTGTAGGTCTTTTGACTGCGTCTCCAATGTTTCCTTAAGACAGACCCCTAGGATGGGAAATGCTGGCTGAGAGTGTGTAAATGTTTTTAAGGGTCTTGACAGATTTTGCACAGCTGACTCTTCTAACAGGTAATATCAGTTAATTCTCTACAGCAGCCTGTGAAAAGGCCAGCCAGTATTGGTAATTATAAAAGAAGCAATCTGCACAGATTTGAACCAGGCGTGGGCAGAGCTGTGCAGAGGCCTCAGGAAAGACAGCGGCTTGAAACAGAAGCATAGGGAGGGCCATCAGCCAGAGGTGTGTTTGTGTTTCCAAACCGCGGCTGCTCAGGGAAAGGCTTTTTTTTTAACTTTTAATTTCGAAATAATTATAGGTTCACAGGAAGTTGCAAAGTAGTATAGAGAAAACCAGTGTACACTTCATGCACTCATGGTTACATCTTACAAAAATGTAGTACAGTATCCACGCCAGGAAACTGACACTGATGTAATACTTGTGTCTAGTTCTATGTCATTTATCACGTGTCGAGTTCTGTAACCACCACCACAATCAAGAGAGAGAGCTCTCCCTTCACCGTAAAGATCTACTCTCTGCTGCCTCTTTCTAGTCACTCTTACCCTCCAATGATTCCTAACTCCTGACTCCACTCATTTGTCTTCCATCTCTATAATTTCATCATCTCAGACGTGTTGTGTAAATGGAATCACACAGTATTCAACATTTTTTTTTTTTATAAACTTGGAGTAATGCCCTTGAGAGTAGTCTAAGATCTGGCCTGTATTAGTAGTTCATTCTTTCAGTTGCTGAGTAGTGTCACTGGATGTAGATATACCACTGTTTGCTAAGCCACTTACTTTTGGAAGGACATTTTGGTTGTTTCATTGTGGGGCTCTTACAAATGAAACTGCTATGAACTATCATGTAGAAGTTCTTGTGTGAACATGTGCTCATTTCTCCAGAATAAATGCCCAAGAATACAATAACTGGACTGTATGCTAAGTGTACCTCTGGTTTTTTAAAGAAACTATCAAACCGTTTTCCATCGTGGCTGTACCATTTACAACTCCATCAACAAAGCATGATAGATCCCGTGTCCCTGCATCCTGGTCAGCGCTCTGTATTGTCACAATTTAAAATTTTTACCTGTTCACATAGATGTACAAAGTGCTTTTTTTCCTTCTTTAATGATGTTTGGGCCCTACACTGGTCTGATGTTTGAATCAGAATCTCTGGAGAAATTGGACATCTCCATTTAAAAAATCTCTTTGGAGGACTCAGACATGTAGTCATTATTGACCATCACTGGACTAGAGCAGTGGTTCTCAAAGGGGCGTCTCTGGATCGCATCAGCATTAATGTTGCCTGGGGACGTGTCACAAATGCGGATTCACAAGCCCCACCCTAGACCAACAGAGTGAGAAGCTGGGGTGGGGTCCAGAAATCTATTTTAACAAGCCCTTGTGGTAACTCCGAGGCACCCTCGAGTATGAGAGCCACTGACCTATAAGGTGGAAACGGATGCGACGAGCTGTTGTGGCAGAAACCATCCTCAAATTGAAAGAAGATGCAATCAAGAGGTAAACATGGACTTGCTGATGGTAGATAGAAGTTGTCTGGGATAGGGAGACTGGGGTTTGAAGAAAACATGGAGTAATGACTATTCCAGTTCTTAAAAAAAAAAATTAGAGGGGGGGGGGGCAAGGCTTTGGGTTTAGGCAGTGGCTTTGGGAACAAAGAGCAAATACTTAAAACTCTGAGGAACACTTGCTTGGATTGGCCATGAAATGTCTAGGAGGGTATTCTTTAACATGGATTAGTTTGTGTTTTAAAGTTAAAACAATCTGGGGAACTAAACTTATTTCAAGTGCTATTTTCAACTTTCAACTGCCATTGTTATTTCAAGGGGCTTCCCAGATGGCGCTACTGGTAAAGAATCTGCTGGCCAATGCAGGAGATGTGAGATGCTGGTTCGATCCCTGGGTTGGGAAGATCCCCTGGAGGAGGGCATGGCCACCCACTCCAGTACTCTTGCCTGGAGAACCCCATGGGTGGAGGAGCCTGGTGGGCTACAGTCCATGGGGTTGCACAGAGTCAGACATGACTGAAGGGATCTAGCATGCATTCATGCAACCTCAGAAATTCTAACCATCCTTGCTTTATGTTTAACTTGGTATCTGTATTTCATGTAGATCTGTTTCAATATGCTGTTACTTGCTCAGAACAATTATGGACAAAGGTGAAGAAATTAGGTGATAATCAGAAGATAGGAGTAACGGCCTAAAGGGAGACGCCTGAGGTGAAAATGGACACTAGCTGCCCTTGGAAAAATTCTGGCCCAACATGTGGTAACTGAATGATTTTAAGCAAATACATCCTCTCTGTGTCCTGGTCTATAAAATGGGAATGTCTGAGTCTGGCTATGGCGAGATGGTTCATCCACTAGCCTTTAAAAGCAAGTTTTGTTTCAGTTCAGTTCAGTTGCTCAGTTGTGTCTGACTCTTCGTGACCCCATGGACTGCAGCGTGTCAGGCCTCTGTATCCATCATCAACTCTCGGAGTTTACTGAAACTCATCTCCATTGAGTCCGTGATGCCATTCAACCATCTCATCCTCTGTCATCCCCTTCTCCTCCTGCCCTCAATCTTTCCCAGCATCAGAGTCTTTGCAAATGAGTCAGCTCTTTATATCAGGTGGCCAAAGTACTGGAGTTTCAGCTTCAACATCAGTCCTTCCAGTGAACACCCAGGACCGATCTCCTTCAGGATGGACTGGTTGGATCTCCTTGCAGTCCAAGGGACTCTCAAGAGTCTTCTCCAACACCACAGTTCAAAAGCATCAATTCTTCAGCACTCAGCTTTCTTTATAGTCCAACTCTCACGTCCATACATGACTACTGGAAAAACCATAGCCTTGACTAGATGGACCTTTGTTGGCAAAGTAATGTATCTGCTTTTTAATATGCTGTTTAGGTTGGTCATAACTTTCCTTCCAAGGCATAAGTGTCTTCTAATTTCATGGCTGCAATCACCATCTGCAGTGATTTTGGAGCACCCTTCCCTCCAAAATAAAGTCAGCCACTGTTTCGCCATCTATTTGCCATGAAGTGATGGGACTGGATGCCATGATCTTAGTTTTCTGAATGTTGAGCTTTAAGCCAATGTTTTCACTCCCCTCTTTCACTTTTATCAAGATGTTCTTTAGTTCTTCATTTTCTTCCATAAAGGTGGTGTCATCTGCATATCTGAGGTTACTGATATTTCTCCCGGCAATCTTGATTTCAGCTTGTGCTTCCTCCAGCTCAGCGTTTCTCATGATGTACTCTGCATATAAGTTAAATAAGCAGGGTGACAATATACAGCCTTGATGCACTCCTTTTCCTATTTGGAACCAGTCTGTTGTTCCATGTCCAGTTCTAACTGTTGCTTCCTGACTTGTATACAGGTTTCTCAAGAGGCAGGTCAGGTGGTCTGGTATTCCCATCTCCTTCAGAATTCCCCTCTCTTTCAGAATCTTCCACAGTTTATTGTGGTCCATACTATCAAAGGCTTTCACATAATCAAAAAGCAGAAATAGATGTTTTTCTGGAACTCTCTTGGTTTTTCAATGATCCAGCAGATGTTGGTAATTTGATCTCTTGTTCCTCTGCCTTTTCTAAAGCCAGTTGAACATCTGGAAGTTCACGGTTCATGTATTGCTGAAGCCTGGCTTGGAGAATTTTGAGCATTACTTTGCTAGCGTGTGAGATGAGTTAATTGTGCAGTAGTTTGAGCATTCTTTGGGATTGCCTTTCTTAGGGATTGGAATGAAAACTGACCTTTTCCAGTCCTGTGGCCACTGCTGAGTTTTCCAATTTGTTGTCATATTGAGTGCAGCACTTCCACAGCATCATCTTTTAGGATTTGAAATAGCTCAACTGGAATTCCATCTTTTGTTTATATGCTACTAAAGCTGCCCAATACTTATATTGTCATTTGGACTTTTTGGCTACATTTACACTGCATAACTTGTTTATCACTGAACGTGGTATCTTTGCTAATATGTTTTGAGTGATTCAGATAGAAACAGTGATTCAGAAAGAAAGGTATTTGGATGTAAAATCATTCTTATGTGGATGTAAGGCTTTCCTTAGTGTTTGTATGTGAACTCCAGAATTACTTTGATTTTGTTTATCTCCATTCAGCTGCAGAGAAGTCAGTTTCATTTAACAGTATGCCCAACATCTCCAACAATTACTGGCAGATAGTAATATGTGTTTAATATATATTTGCTAATCATTAAATGAACAAAAGCATGCCAGACAATGTTTCCAGGTAACAGAGTTTACCTCTGACTGGTACAGATTTGAAGTTAAATATTATTTTAACTGGAGCCATCCAATGCAGTTAAACCTGCTGATCAGTGCCCTCCCCTATAACATGGCACTACAACTGGACTTTCAAGTACTTCCTATCAGTTTTTATTAACAGGGAGTCTTTGGAAGCTTCTATTTTCCTAGTCTATAAAAAAAGATGAAGATGATAGAGGTATGGTTTGCTTAGCACTAAAGCTGTTACTTGTCCAATGTTCTGGAACCAAGGTGAGCTGTAGGCTTGCCTGTGGGGATACCTAGCTGCAGTTTGCCTCATTGCCTCTTAGACGTTGGAGTAAACATTATTCTCTAGCTAACGAGAGAGGTTGCAAAAGGCTCAATATATTCCTACCTGTGAAGGGGAAGACAACTGTCCACACTATCCCCAATCCTGGAGCCAGAACTGAACTTTGAGAGTAGCTGGAATTTGAACCATGAGTGAATTTTCCCTATGATAGGTGTGCTTTTGTTGTGATGCACTGAAGAGGCTCATGGACTTCATCCATCATCAGGAAACATCTACTGTTATTTACGATTGACTAGGGGCTTCCCTGGTGGCGCAGTTGGTAAAAAATCTGCCTGCAATTAAGGAGACTTCCTATAATTCAGGAGACTGCCTGCAATGCAAAAGACTGCCTGCAATGCAGGATTCTGGTTTGATCCCTGGTTCAGGAAGATCCCCTCGAGGAGGAAATGGCAACCCACTCCAGTATTCTTGTCTGGGAAATCCCATGGACAGAGGAGTCTGGTGGACTATAGGCCAAGGGGTTGCAAAGAGTCAAACATGACTTAACAACCAAACCCCTACCATCAGGATACAAAGCAGTGTGCAAACCTTTTTTTATTCTTTATTGCACAAACTTCTCACAAGTACTAGAAGTCCCTATCCTTTTATTTCTTTCCTCTTTCCTACTCTTTTCTCTACTTAATCCTATTGCAATCCCCTGTGCTCCATCTGTGAAGCCTTATATCACATTGATTCATGTATTTCTGAAAAGAGAGAACACACCGGATAAAGAAACACTTTGTTTCACTATTATTCATTAGTTCTCATAGAAAGCTTCTGTGAATTATTGAGATTAAATACCCTCCCCACCAGGGGTGAGGCTTGGGTGGAACAAAAGGCTGAAGCAGGAAGAGACCTGTGGATGCCATCTCCTATCTTTCAGCTGGTTGATTGAAATTGTCTTCATGCTCTAATAGTACTTTGTCATTGGCAAATGCCATTTTGTATCACTTCTGATCCCGTCAGATCTTAGTGACTGCTCTAGTTTAATACTGTGTGGAACTGGAAGATAATTTCACCTCTGTGTGTTTAAATGTGCCTCTCATGGAGGCAGTTATTCTTGAGCTACATTTGCTCACCAGCACATTGATTACCTATGACCATCTTCACAGGGATTTGTTACTAACAGTAAACAATGGGTCATCAGGACAAGAATGGGGCACTGAACAGATCGATACTTGTGGGAGGTCTCATGAGCATGCAGGCAGAGGGGGACCCCGGCCGACTTCTGGGAGCCACTCACATCACTATGTCACAATTTGTCTTTCCTTGGGAAGCAGATGAGATTAACTGCCTGAGAGCATTGTCATTATTCTTAAATGAGTGATTGCATAGATCTATGTGGTAGGCTCTTTGCAACAGAGAACCAGGATACCAGAGTAAATGTTTAAGAAATGAGGTTCCCAGAAACTGAGCGCTCAGGAGTATACTGGCTTTCTCAGAAGGGGAAAATTATTCAAATATGGGATGCTCTTTCAGGCATTTGATTTCAGTTAAGCTTTCTGTGGTGTCACTGTGTAAACTCCAAACATGCTATTTACCTTTTGTCTTTAAAGAGATAGACAACGGTACATGTATGAGGGGCCCTGTTAGTTTCTATCTAGCTTTCGCTCTTTCTTCTTCCTGAGTGAGCCCTTTAGAAAATCTTTTCCGGGTCTCTACCTCTTCCTCAGCCAGCCATGTACCTCTGGAAAAGCTGATCACCATTAGAGGACACATTGGATTCAGGGTAGTGATCCTTTGAAGAATGGTTTCATGAATCAGCCTTAGCTAGTGAACTGTTATTAGGGGAATTCTTCTAGGAGGATCTGGAAAGAGTTTTTCTCAGTCCTAAGAAAATTCCACAGAAGAAAAACTATCTCTGAATATTGTCATGTCTGGATATTTTCCTGAAACTGTTGGTTGCCCTACTGTTCTATGTCTAAGGATGGAGCCAACTCTTC